TTTGGGTACAGCATTAAGTACGAATTGATATTCATTTTACATACGGATGACCAACTGGGAAAAAAATTTTCTTCTCCTCACTGAATGTCCTTTGCATGTCTATAAAAAATTAAGTGTCTCTGTGTGTTTGTGTCTATTTCTGGACTCTATTTTTATTCCACTGATCTGTTTACTTGTATTTATACCAATATCACCTTGTCTTGATCACTATAGTTTTATAATAACTCCTAAAGTCAGTTAGTGTTAGCATTCCAATCTAGTTCCCTTATTTTCAAATTCTAATGTCTTTACATTTTCACATGAAATTAGAGTCAGCTTTTCAATTGCCAGAAAACACTTCTGGGATTCTGATGGTAGCTGCATAAAATCAGTTGACCGATTGAGAGGATTAACACTGTAACAACACTGGGTCTTCTGACCCATGAACAGGATGCTTCTTTGAGTCGTTTAGTTTCCATCCACATTGTTTTTTAGTTTCCAGTGTACAGGTCTTACAGATACCTGATGAGGTTTAACCCTAAATAGTTCATATAGAGTTTGCTGAGGATGTTTATAGTTGCTGAATTTTATCAAATTCCTTTTCTGCATTTATTGAGCTGATCATATGGATTATGTCTTTTCTATTTTATCAATATGGTAAATCTGATTCCTTTCCTCCAGTTTTTAGGACATACGGAATACAGCTGTAATAACTGTATCCATGTGCTTGTCTGCTAATTCTAACAACTGTGTCAGCTATGGGTGGGTTAGAATGCAGGATTTTTCTCATTTTGTCCTGCTTGGTAATTTTGACTAGATATCAGGCAATGTAAAATTTACCTTCCTGGGTGCTGGATGAATTTGTATGCCTAATAACATTCTTTGTCGTGGGATACAGTTAGGTTATTCTGGCTTGATCTTTTCAGATCTTGTGCTTGAGATTTGCTAGGTGGGACAAGAAGAACATTTTGTGTAGGGCTTATTTTTCGCCATGACCTTCTCCAAGGCCCTTTTCAGTACTCTACTCAATGCCCCTTAAATTATAAGTTGTTCCAGCTAACTGCTGGGAACAGACATTCCCTGGCCAGTTCCAGTATCACTGGGGGTGGCTCATCTCCTGGCCCTGGCTAGCATCCTCATGTACAGTCTGCTGGCAAAATAATCAAGGGGAATCCTCTGTCAGTCTCCAGCATTTTCCCTTTGTGTTGCTCTCTCCTCTCCAGAAGTCTACCCTGAAAACTCTTGCCCGTAGGCCTCCTCAGACTCTCAGGCCAGTCTCCTCACCACAGGAAGCTGGCTGAACTCTACCTGCGTTCCTCCCTCTCTTCTCTGTGGTGTGGCAACTTTCTCAGCACAGTCAGCTGAAATGATCATACAATTTTTTCATCTTGCAGGGATCAATGTCCTTCACTGCCTTATGTTCTAAGTTAAAAAAAAATAGTTTCATATTTTTGCATGCTTTTTCAGTCACTTTGAGGGAAAATAAATCAAGTGCCTATTATCCACTGCAGCCTAAAGGAGAAGTCTAAGGGTCTTTTTTATTGTCTATTGTTGCTTCTGCTTTTCTTTCATGCTGTCTTGCCTCATTATCTGCCTGGTTATATATTTCTTTCAACATAGGTAACTTTTTTTTCCTTCACTTTTTAAGTTATCCTACAGTGAGAAAGCCTTTTTCTGTAGGTGTAGAGTTCTGAGAATTGTAGCACACATGTATCATATAATTACTTCCATAATCAAGACACATAACAATTCAATCACTCCCAAAAAACTTGCCTTGAGTTATCCCTTTATACTCACATTTCTCCCCCACTCCTAACTCCTGGCAAACACTGATCCTGTATCTGCATCTTTGAAAATGTCATCGTAAGTGGGATTATACAGTATGCAGTCGTTTGAGACTAGCTTCCTTTCACTCAGTATGCCTCTGGGGTTCACTCATGTTGCTGCAAGTGTCAATAGTTTGTTTCTTTTTCAAAGCACCGCAGTCCGTTTGTCCACTCACCTACTGCAGGATATTGGGGTGTTGCCAGTTTGGGCAACTGGGAACTGAACTCTTATAACCACTTATACATAAGTGCTTAGTGGGCATGAGCTTTCATGTCTCCAGGGTAAATACTGAGGAGTGAAACTGCTGTGCTGTATGTTAAGCACATCTTTTATTTTAAAAATACCAAACTGTTATCCAGAATAGCTATACCACTCTGCATTCCCACTAACAATTTATGAGAGACCCAGTTACTCCATAACCACATCAAAACTTAGTACTGGCAGTTTAGCTGTTCTAACAGGTGATCCCTCACTGTGGCTTTAATGTGTATTTCCCTGGTAGTCAATGGCTTTTTTTTTTTTTCCAAATGTGCTTAGCTGCCATCCTTATATTCTCTTTGGGGAAATGTCTCTTCAAGTCTATTGTCCATTTTTCAGTCGAGTTTTTTGTTTTCTTTCGAGTTGGCGAGTTTCTTTATAATAGTTCGGGGACAAATACTAGGCTGAATATGTAATTTGCAATCATTTTCTCCCAGTCTGTAGCTTGTCTTTTCATTCTCTTAACAGTGGTTTCCACAGAACAAAAGAGTTTTATCTTGATGATGTCTGATTTATCCATTTCCTTCTTTTACAGATTATGTTTTGGAGAGACGTCTAAGAACTCCCTGGCACAGGTCACAAAGGTTCTTCTCCAATGTTTTCTTCTAAAAGTCACATAGCCATATTTTTATGGATGTATTTCTGGGCTCTCTATTCTATTCCACTGGTCCTCGACAAAGGGGATTGATACTACACTGTCAAGGTCACTTTAACATTGTAATAAATCTTAATATTGGGTGGTGTGATTCCTCCAACTTGTCCTTTTTCCAAAACTGCTTAGCTATTTCAATTACCTTTGTTCATTCATATAAATTTTAGAGCCAGCTTGTCTATATCCGCAAAAAATATGCTGTTTGAATTTTTATTGGTATTGCATTAAATCTATTTATTACTTTGGAGAGAACTGACATTTTTACTATGTTGAATCTTCCAATCTATAAACACAATATGTTTCTCCATAATTTAGGTCATTTTTAATCCATTTCATCAGTGTAGTTTTCACCATACAGATCCTGTATATATTTTGTTAAATTTACAGCTATGTATTCTTTTTTTTTTCCTGAGCTACTGTAAATAGTATTCTTTCAAAATTTTAGTTTTTTGTTTGTTTGTTCACTGTTAGTGTATAGAAATAGAGTTATTTTTGTTATTGACTATGCATCCTGTGATCCTGCTAAACTCACCTACTAGTTCTAAGAGTTGTTTGTTGTTTAGAATTCTTGTGATTTTTTTCCGTATAAAATCATTTTAGCTGCAGGGACAGTTTTATTTCTGCTTTTTCAATCCACATCCTTCTATTTCTGCTTCTTGCTCATCTGGAATCTAAATTTCTAGTTTGATGTTGAATAGGAACAGAGAGAGTGGACATCTATGCCATGATCTCAATCTCAAGGAAAACACATTTGGCTTTTCACTACTAAATACGATGTTAATGGTCAGTTTTCTGCAGATGTGTTTTATCAGGTTGAGGAAGTTCCTGTGTTCCTACTTTGCTGATAATTTTTTTTATCAATATTGAGTGATCTTGTCAAATACTTTTTCTGTCTCAACTGATGTGATCACTTGTCTACCCCTTTATTGGGAAGGGAAATTCCCATTGATATTAATACGGCAGAGTAACTGATTTTTAATATTGCCTTCCAAGGATAGACTCCACTTTGTTATGGTATGTTGCTCTTTTTATATGTTGCTGGATTTGACTTTTTAATATTTTATTGAGATATTTTTCCCTCTATATCTATGAAAGATCTGGGTCTGTTTCTTTTGGTACTGCCTTTGTGTGGTTTTGATATCAGGGCAATGCTGGCTTCATAAAATGATTCAGTAAGTGCACCTTCCTCTTCCATTTTCTGGAGAAGCTGGTATAGAATTGGTGCTATCTGTTTTTTCAAATGTTTGATAGAACTCATCAGTGAAACTATTTGGGCCTAGAAAATTCTTTTGGGAGACTTTTCACTGCAAATTCATCTTGTTAATAGGTATAGGAGTATTCAGGTTATCTATTCCATCTTGAATGAGTTTTAGTAGTTTGTGGCTTTCACAGAGTTAGTCTCTTTCATCTAAGTTGTCAGTTTCTTATGTGTGTAGGTTTGTTCATAGTATTCCATGCCCTGATTTCATTTTCAGTGATTTCATAATTATCCATAATGTGAGGTCTGTAGTGATATCTCCTCTTTTATTACTGACACCGGTATTTTGCATCTTTTCCTTTGACAGTCTTACAAGAGGCTAATAATTTTATTGATTTTTTCCCAGAGACTCGGTTTTTTGTTTCACGGTTTTTTCTATTGTTTTTGTCTCACTGTTTTTTATACTGTTCTTGTCTCAAATTTCATTAATTTCTGGTCTTTATTTCCTTCCTTCTGCTTGCTTTGGATTCTGTTCTAGTTCTTCTGGTTTCTTAAGGTGAAAGCTTGGGTTACTGATGAGACTCCTTTCTTCCTCTAACCATTTAGTGCTATAAATTTGCCTCTAATTACTGTTTTGGCTGCATCCCATACATTTTATTATGTTGCATTTTCATTCTTGTTCATATGAAAATGTTTTATGATTTTTCTTAGGACTTTGCAACAACACTGGTAAGAAAGGGTGAGGGCAGAGCCCTTTCAGTACACACTTGTGCAGCCCATGTGCCTCACCTGCACAGCAGAGGTAATGGACAGGCCCAAGCCTGAGGGCTACCTTGACTTGGCTCATTTGGTGGAAAACCAGCACAGGGACACAGACAAGGACACAGCCCCACAGACTCCTATGGGCCTTGGGTCAACAGTGCAGAATGAGACCCTTGCACTTTGCTGGGCACCCAGCACATGCTGGTGGAACATGAGCACAAGTAAAGCCAGCCTGAGGACCATGGGGTGATGTGGAGTAATAAACAGGAGGAGGCACACTGAGTTATCAGGGAGGAGGGTTTAGGGGGTTCTGGATGCTCATACCTTGGCTGGTTTCTGGCTGCAGGGAGCTCAGAGGAAGTGGGGGTGAAGATTCGGGGGCCTCTGCTGCTGGGTGCTCTGCCACCGGACAGATGATAAACCACCTCTTCCCAGTGTGTAGGACTAAGGGGTAGGACAAAAACAGCTGGTGAGAGCGAGCAGGTTTCTCCCCAGTCTGGCGTGACCCTTTGCCACAGGCACTAGACCTGCCACAGGGGCATTTGGAGAACTCTTCCCGCACCAGTGGGGAGGATGTGCAGCCCACTCAGGGCTCTCACAAGTCCCCCGAGCACAGGCTTAGAGCCCAGGACACCCGCAGTGCATCAGCGAAGGGGTAATGCTGGCCGGGGCACCAGCTGGCTGCAGCGAGTCCATGCCACGCTCAGTCCCCACCTGGGCCAGATGTGACTCCTCAGACAGGGCGGATGTCCCCAGACGAAGGCACACTCACCACACACCCCAGCAACCCCCGTGTGTCATGGCCAAACCCCCTACAGTATGCTCAGTGGGGCTCTTATCGAATGCCTGCTTGAAGGCTGAGTAGGGACAATGACAGAAATGACAGAAATGCCTCCTCTAAATGCGTGACTGGTTGGCGGCTGTGGCCTCGAAGGGAGACGTACCATTTTGTTGATACACCGGGGCATTTGCTTGGGATTGGCGGCTCTCCTGGAGGAGGTAAAAGATCAGAAATCAGCAGACTGCATGGAACAAGAACTTTACAGCGCAACCCAGCCTCAAATCATTTGAGGGCCTCTGGGAGTCTGGAGGTTTCTAACTGGATTAAAGGCACTTGCCCTCCTGGCCCCCTCACCCAGCGCTGCATGGCCTACAGGTTCCTCTACAAGCAACATCACAGCGTTGTATTTACGGAGCCTGGAGCTGGGGGGATAAGGAGGCCCAGGCCCTCTCAGGACCCCGCACCTGGGACTCACCTCCCTGGCGCCCAGGCCACAGGTGCTGAGGTGTGGCGGGCTGACCCCAGGGTCAGAGCCACGGTCCACATCCGTGTCCTCACTGAGCATGTCCTCCGCCTTGTCCATGACGTCCTTCATCTGCTCGATGAACGTCTCCCGCTCAGCCGGCAGGATGAAGTCGTGCTCCACCTGCAACAACATGGGCAACCCTGCTGGTGGGGACGTGCCCAGAGCACTGGCCACAGTGGGTCTTCACTGACTCATCTGCTTCATTTCAACTCTGGACTAAGCCCAAGAGGGGAGACACAGCCAGGGGGCCCAGTCCCCATACTGGGAGCTGCACGGGCCAGCAAGAGAAGCAGGCTCTCCAGGTGATGGGCCAGCACTGCCCACAATAGGCAACCACCTGCAGAGGCTGGAGGCTGGGGAAGCCTGGCAACCAAAATTCCCCTCAGTGGGGCTGGCAGACGTGAGCCCAACCTCAGCCCCAGGGCAAGTACCACCAAGTCATCGGACAAGGCAGGACACCCAGCCTCACCATGTAGGTAGCAATCTCGTCAGGCGCATCCCCGTCCAGGTCGAACTTGAACGTCACCATCTTGTGGTTGTGTGTCTCCAGCTGGCACTCCACCATCTTGTCACCCGTGTTGCACACCTACAGGACACTCAGACGGTTGAGATCAGGGAGGAGACCGTGCCTGGCGAGCCCCGTCCTGCCGGCCCATCACGCCTGGCTACTCACATTCAGGATGGTCAGCCGGGGCCTGCTGGCCCTCTCCTGGCGGGAACGCGCACGGGTGGACCGGCGGTGATGTTTCCGGGTGGTCTTGCCTTCCAGCTTCCCCCCACCAAATGCACCTTCACAGCTGTCGCTCATCTCTCTTCCAGAAGTGACGTCGGAACCTCCGTAGCTGTGTGAAAACCAAGAATGTTATGGTCCCCAAAGGAAGGGCCTGCAAGCCGGCCTCGCGTGGGAAACCTGGCTTTTCAGGAAACAGCCAGAAGCTTTTGTGTCTGGGTGTCCCCAGCTGGGAAAACCTAGAGCGTCTAAAGCTAGCCATGCCTGGCAGAGAGACTCAGCCTGCTGCCCCTTCTGCCCCTGCAACGTCTGTCCTGGGCGGTGCTGGGGTCCTAGGGAACACACAGGCTTTCTGGTCTGGGACCTTGGTCCTCTCAGCTCCTGACCTGTAAATCAGGCTTCACCAGCTCACAGTAAATGTCAGGATGAAGACACAATCCTCCCCCGTGCCTTGGTTCCCCTACCTGTTCAACAGCAATGGGAACTTGCCAACCGTGTGGGGCTGTCGTAGGATTTAAGACTTTGCGGAGCACCAAGCTTGGTGCTGGCGTACCAGAAGGGTGGGACACAGTCACTTCCCTTAACCGGTTTCCTCCCCAAACTCGACGTTCCCCATGACGAGGTGCTGGGAGACCTGGGGTGTGGGCTAGACTCTGCCCTTCCCTCCTGGGCTCCCCCCAGCTCCTAGGCCTCCTGACTCTCCATCCATAGCTCTTCTCTATTCTAGAACATCATCAGCATTGCAGACCAGCACCAGGACCCAGAACACAGCTGGGAGTATCTGGCTACCAAATTTCAACAGACACTGACAAAGACCCTAGAAGAGCTCCCGGAGGCCCCACCAGGTCAGGCTTGGAAACAGGTGACATTGTTAGAAGCACTAGCACAGGAGGGCCAAGTGTGCCATTACCTCTCACAGCTCTGAGGGAGGCTGGGCTGCTTGTCCTGCGAGGCCTGCTCCTGAAATAAAACCATGGGGAGGAGGATGGGTCAAGTTCACTTCCCCACGACACAGCCGCACACAGCTTGCTGTCTGCCCAGCTCCACAGCCCAGCCCACCGCCTGCTCCCTTCTGACTACAGCAAGCAGACCAGGCAGGGTAGCAGGAGTGAGGGGTTTTTATCCTGTTAATGCTTACAGCCAAGCAGATTCTTAAAAGCTGGGGCCACGCCCTTCCCAAACATGCCAGCCCACTTTGATCACCCCTACGAGGGAGCACGTGGCCCAGGAAGAACTGTCACAGGCCTTCCCCTCGTCTCCAGAGAAAAGAACTCTAAATCCATGTGTGAAGATCACGGTCTCCACCCAGGCATGTGTTGAAGGAAAGTGTGACATCCAGGAACAGCAGAGGGAGATAAAAAACACCACCCGTGGCTGTCCCTGGGCACACGCTTCCACCCTCCCAAGGGCATCCCCAACTTCCAGAGCTGAAGTCACCACGCAGGAGGGCTGCCGTGATGCTGGGGTCAGGGATCAGGGTGACGGACTGCAGGCCAAGCCCCGAGGA